CCAGCTTGAACTCTCTCACTGATTACCTGATGACAATAAAAGATCTGATATTCTGCATTCCCATGTACCATTTTAATTGAAGTCTGGAAATGTGGCTAAAAGTCTGTCTTATTTTTTGAGACAGGGTCTTGCCTCACCCAAGCTGGAGTGCAGTGGCCCTTTGAGGCTTACTACAGCCTCAGACTTCTGGGCTCAAGTGATCCTCAGCCTCCCAATGGTCTTTGTAGACAGCCTGATGGAGTTTCATGGCACAAGAAGATTAAAACAGTGTCTCCAATTTTAATAAATTTTTGCAATCCATTTGGAGTGTATAGTATTTACTTTATAAAGCACAGTGCTTTTCATCGGTTCATTCGTTGTAAGCATAAATCACATTCAAAGGCTATTATAACTCCATGGCATTTAACACTGCAGCCAGTTAAAATTTTATGGGTGTGGGGAAAAGAGATCAGACTGTTACTGTGTGTATGTAGAAAGAAGTGGACAGAGACTCCATTTTGTTTTGTTCTAAGAAAAATTCTTCTGCCTTGAGATGCTGTTAATCTGTAACTGTACCCCCAACCCTGTCCTTGCGGAGACTTGCTGTGTCAACTCAAAGTTTAATGGATTTGGGGCTGTGCAGGATGTGCTTTGTGAAACAAGTGCCTGAAGGCAGTATGCTTGCTACAGTCATCACCGTACTCTAATCTCAAGTACCCAGGGACACAAACACTGCAGAAGGCCGCAGGGACCTCTGCCTAGGCAAGCTAGGTATTGTCCAAGGTTTCTCCCCATGTGATAGTCTGAAATATGGCCTCATTAGGAAGGGAAAGACCTGATCATCCCCCAGCCTGACACCCATAAAGGGTCTGTGCCTGTGCTGAGGAGGATTAGTGAAAGGAAGGCAGGCCTGTCTCCTGCCCGTCCCTGGGCAATGGAATGTAAAACCCAATCGTATGTTGTAAACCATCTGGAGGTGGGACGTGCTAGCAGCAATGCTGTTCTTTATGCACTGAAAATGTTTATGAAGATGTTTATATATGCACATCAAAGCACAGCACTTTTCCTTACTCATGACACAGATCTTTATTCATACGTCTTGCTGATCTCCCTACTATGACCCTATTGTCCTGCCACTTCCCGCTCTCTGAGATGGTAAAGATAATGATCGCGGGTCCTCCATATGCTGAGCGCTGGTCCCCTAGGCCCACTTTTCTTTATACTTTGTCTCTGTGCCTCTCAAGTCTCTTGTTCCACCTGATGAGAAACGCCCACGGGTGTGGAGGGGCAGGCCACCCCTTCATATGGGTATTTTACAAGGTGTCTTATGCGTTAAAGTGCAGTATTTCCTAATTCCCCATATGAGCAAATTGTCAGGTTTCGTAGGCCTCTGTCCTAATTGGTTTTCAGCTTAAAGTATTGATGGAGCTACTTTTGAGAAAGTCATGGTGAGTCTGAGGTTGGGAAAATAAGCTATAGAAATGCCCAACTAGTGATAGGAATTAATGGAATTGGGAAAATCTACAATCCATAGCCATGGTGATAGGTTTTTGGCAAGCAAGTGTTTAGGGATGCCAAAAGTGGGTATAAGGGGCACAACTGGTGTTTAAAGCAATCTGCCTCAGGGAAATGTAGGACCAAGGGGCCAAAATTCCAAGGTGGGTGGATTTTTGAGTGTCAGTACAGCTGTGGTTATAATGATGTTAGTAATAGTTTTACAAATCTGAGTTTCTGGACTAAAGCGCTTTAGTCCCATTAATGATAATAAAACTTGTTTCCACTTACCCTCTGAATTCCTTTTTTTTGAGACTGAATCCCTGTTGTCCAGGCTGGAGTGCAATGGCTTGATCTCAACCACTGCTCACTGCAACCTCCACCTCGGGTTCAAGCGATTCTCCTCAGCCTCTGCCATTGCAACAGGCTCATTTTGGTATTTTTAGTAGAGACGAAACTCCGTCCTCCCAAAGTGCTGGGATTGCAGGCCTGAGCCAGTGTGCCTGTCCTCTTCTGGCTTTTTATACTTGATATTTTCTTCAGGACTCTCCCCATTGCGGTCATTTCACAATCTCATTGAAATGTCAGCTTATGCACTAAATGCATATAATTTTTGTAGATGGGGAATACATGTAAATTTTGTCTAAGAAAAAAGGCCTCCCCCTTCCCCAAATAAACATTCATTTCCTGGGGCCCACCCAAATGTTTCACACAGGTTGTAAAAAAACTAACACCTGGCTGGGTGCTGAGGTGAGCGGATCACCTGAGGTCAGGATTTCAGGACCAACCTGGCCAACATGGTGAAACCCCATCTCTACTACAAAAAATTACAAAAATCTAGCCGGGTGTAGTGGTGGCCTCCTGTAATCCCAGCTACTCTGGAGGCTGAGGTTGCAGTGACCTGAGATCGTGTCACTGCACTCCAGCCTGGGTGACAGGGTGAGACTCCGTCTCAAAAAAGAAAAGAAAAAGGCTGGGCGTGGTGGCTTATGCCTATAATCCCAGCACTTTGGGAGGCCGAGGCGGGTGGATCACATGGTCGGGAGTTTGAGACCAGCCTGACCAACATGGTGAAAGCCCCATCTCTACTAAAAATACAAAAATTAGCCAGGTGTGGTGGTGTGCACCTGTGATCCCAGCTACTCGGGAGGCTGAGGCAGGAGAATCGCTTGAACCTGGGAGGTGGAGGTTGGGGTGAGCTGAGATCATGCCACTGCTCCAGCCTAGGTGACAGAGCAAGACTGTCTCAAAAAAAAAAAACAAAAAACTAGCATCACCTACCGCAAATGGTTACCCTTTACTCTTCATGCAACCACCATTATCTGTGTTTTTTTCTTATTTCCCCCACAAGAATGTAAGTGCTTCAAGTTTATTCTTTAATGTTGAAAAAAATGAATGAAACTGCAAATGTGGTAGATCAGTTTTTGGGGAGGTACCAAAGACTGAAATTGGTAAAATACCTTGATTTAGAAGTGAAAAACGATGTTACATTTCAAAGTATCTTTTCACCAGGTGTGATGGCTCAGGGTTCAATACCAGCCTGGCCAACATGGCAAAACCCAGTCTCTACTGGAAAAAAACGAAAATTAGCCGGGTGTGGTGGTGTGGGCCTGTAGTCCCAGCTACTCTGAACCCTGGAGGTGGAGGTTGCAGTGAACCAAGATCGTGCCACCTCACTCCAGCCTGGGCCTCCTAGGCTCAAGTGATTCTTGTGCCTCAGCTACCTGAGTAGCTGGGATGACAGGTATGTGCCACCACACCTAGCTTTTTTTTTTTTTTT